CATGAGAGAATGGTTAAACGATAATGGCGGCTCATATAAGTAATGTAAAGCAGAAGGTCCGGATACTGACCGAAAAAGCAACGAGCCCGTAGGGCGTCGTGCTCCAGCACCACAGTTCCGGGTTCGAATTCCGGGTGATCCACACCTGGACTTATGTATGACTGTCCGAGGACGGCTAATAAGCCAGACATGACCATTTTGGTCTCCCTTTGCCGGATCCATTTAACTGTGGCCTGTGTCTACTAGTCATTAGTGGAAAAGACTGGCTTGTAAACGGTGTCACTCAATATGCTTCCCTGCTTATGCCTATGGATACGGGAGTCGTCTAGGCGGTGGTGCCTGTGAACTCAAACTTTGAGAAAGAATGGCTAAGACGAAAATGTACAAGGTTCGAAGTAATAACTAAATCACAAGTGGAAACAAACACAAAAAATGGAATAAGTGAGACATAAAGGGCGCGTTTGAAGCACACAGTATCGTGAAGCAGAATACATTTGAAAAGAACAGCAAGGTAGGTTATGAAAACATCAGCAAAGGTGGAATTAGATGCACAATCGGTGAACGAAAATGCTGTTTCTGCTGTCTAAATGTGCAGTCGCAAGTAACCTAGGGAAAAATAAGAAGTAGCACCAAGTGGAAGGTGTTAAGGGCGTACGTTAGTAAGCAAACAAGATAAACTTAAAGCTCGAACCACAAACGCAAGTAGAAAAAGGTAACATTCTCAGATTGTTTTTCACAATTGGGTCAACTAAATTAAGCAAATCTGCCGAATCTCCTAAATAATTAAGTCGGCCTAGTAGTCATTCTGGTGGATTCTAGATGATTGCTTGGGAAATCCCGCTTGGGCAGTCAGCTTTACTGTTCCGTATTGGTGGATTCCATACGAGCGGTAAAGTTGGGCGGGTAAAATCGATCCAAGTGCGATTAAACTTACGGTGCTAGGCGTGACATTTGCAGCTCAACTGGCAGAGCATTGGCTTCGCGTTAAGGCCTTCCCTACTATGCGGGTTCAAATCCCACCGAATGCCGCGAGTTTTTTCACAATTTGGTCAGCTAAAATTCTCAGATTGGTTATATTGCGGGAAGGGGCAGGTTGTTTGCTTGTCCCATCATCAAATGGTGGTGCTTCATCATGCACCGCCTAAACGAGCCGCGGGCTAGATGCGCTGGACCAACACGAGGGCCGGACCTGGATGCGGCAGGCGTTATTCGGGTTATACTCCCATAGAAAACGCCGAACATGGGGGGAGGGGCGTTGTGAAACATAGGTGCAGGCTCATGCACCAGCCACCAGTCTGTAATTGGACAAACGTGCGAGTGAGGCCACTTCTTTAACTGAGCGGCCAGAGCGTGTAAGAAGACGTGGGTGGATCAGAGC